TATTTTCAAATATGTAGTCACCTTTCACTTTTAACCAGTTTCCTCATTTTTTTTACAGTTTGAATCATAATTAAAATAAGTGTATTTAATTGGTTGATAGTAAATTTTAATTCACATTAATTTTCCCCACCTTCTTCCCCCATCATTTTTTGATAATTGTTTGCTGAAGAATTAGATCATTTGTCTTGATAATTTTATATCATTGGTACCTGGAATAATCCAGGCCAGTATGTGACACATAGTAGTTATATCAATAAAGGTAAATAATTTATAATATTTTAGGATGGAATTAAAATGTTAAATTTTTAGGGAATAATTACTGCCTCATTTTTTATTTTAGCTTGATAGTATAATCTTGGCAATAAGAAATTATTTATTTGGGAAGGGGTCAGATGAAGGGCACTTATGGCTACAAAAAGTTATTTGAAAAGATCTGTGGGGATATACTAATAATGGCTACCATTTATTTAAGGTGCTATTGTTTGCATAAAAAGCTCTGTTAGAAACTACATTAGTTTATTCAGTTATCATAGCAATGTTTTAGTGAATGGTGGTAATACCTACATTTTCCTAGTAAAGTAATTCAGATTTATTGGGGGAAGTGGAGGTGAAGTGGGTGCTGGGCATTAATGTCTTTTAAAACAAACTTTATGGAACTAGAGACAGCTAAATGCAACTTTCATAAAAGAAAAACTTTAAAAATTGACACCAATAATACTACTTAATAGAAAAACTTTAGTAATGTGTTTCTACCTTCTTTTTCTAGTCATTCACATGTATTACATGTTTTGGGGGGAGAAATTTTTTACCAAAATATTTTAAGGTGAGGTGGATTAGAAAATGTGAGTAAGAAGAAAGGGAAAACTCTCTGAAAAAAATAGTATTTTGGTTATTTTTTGTGTTAGGAGGTGGAGGGGAGAGAGAATATAGAGCTTGGAAAAGTTACACTATACCACATGCGTTTCTCTTCCTCATACCATGCCCCTTAGTATATTGAAAACATTGAAGATTTGCAATGAAGAAACTCTTTAACTTTTTTTAATCCAGTGTCATTCTTTCATAGTTACTTGGTTAAAAAACAACAAAAAAACTCTTTTTATGAAATCACAGTTTTCCCACAGTATGAAGTTGAGTTTGCAAAAGTTGAAATATTTGTGCACATAGTAAGACTTTAGAATGTGCTAAAGTAAACATAATTTAGGGCAGAACGATTGGATAATTCAATAGTGTTGGAGTAACTTGAAGACAGCATTCTGAAGACAACTCGGTTGACACAAAATAATACTAAAATAAAAAGGGAAACTGCATTAAATATCTAATACAGATATTAATTACATAAAGAATTCATATAAATTATTGAAACCAAAACACATTAAGACCTGAGTAGGAAGAGAATAGGCAAAAGTAAAGAAATACAAAAAGGCAGTATAGTTTACACATCTGAAGTGTTCAGGCATTTTTAGTGACCATGTTTCTTTGAAAAATCTAAAACTCAGTGCTAGTGAGTTCTTACTGAGGCTTAATACCAAGCTCTTTGCACTATAAATTGTATGTAATGTTCAGGAAAGTCATATGATGAGATAATATAGTAAAAACAAATGTATTTTCCTTTTTTGACTCAGTAAATCTATGCTTTAGAGTTAATTGTAAAGAAGGAATTGAAAAGGAGAAAGTGTGTGGGTATAGTGACTTTATTTGCATTTTTCAAATTAGGAGTATAAAATGACAAATTCACCCCCAGATGGTTAATTACATGTAACATACAACTTGATGGTGTATAACCTACCACAGCGTCTTTTTGGAATAAATGTGTGAATTATCCATGAAAGAAAGAACTCAAACTGCAGGGAGGCCAGCTAGAGGCTGGATGGTCTGCAGCGTTATAGGAGAAAGCTGTGGGGCTTGGTTAAGAGTTTGTATCCATGTACGTTCTTGTTCTATTTCAAAACACAAGACTTACCAACTAGATATCTTACCTTTGTGACTGTGCAAAGATATCATGTTCTTTAGTTTTTTCCCCCTCAAATATGATACTTAATGGGAACTTTTTTTATAGAGGAAATGATTGTCCTAGGGGTAGAGTTTGGATTTTGTGCTGCCAACATGAATTAAAGGGTGTCAAATGGTTCTCCTTTTTGTGTAGTAGTAAGGTGATTTAAACTAATCCCAGTTGTTCAGAAATTTAATAAATTTAACTCCAGATGATTTTCTTTTTATTTCATGTATCCCCTCTTACAAAAAAAGAGTAGAATTAACTAGTCTTGAAATAATGTAGTGTTAGTGTTAGGAGGACTTAACATAGACTTGACTGTCGTCGGAGCTCAGGACATTTAATTAGGGCCATTTGGGGATAGGGATGGGAGGGATTTTAATGTAATTTAAATTCAGGCTCAAGGAGGTTTCTGAGTATGAGTCTAGGTTTTATGCCAACATTTTTGAATGATGGTGACACCTAATTCTGGAATGTGGGAAGGAGAAAAAGCATAATTGGTTTTCTGCATGGCGTGGCTGACTGTGTACTTGCCTCCTAAACAATTCAGAACATTGCATTTTGGCGGGGGTGGGGTGGGGTGGGTAACCCAAAGTTTCCATTTTAGTGGATATATTGCATAGGACTCTCCATTTCTTTAAGAGCTGAATATCACATACTGACTCTTAGCTTGTCTTACAGCCCTGGGAGGGAGAGATGTGGGAAGTCCCTGTGAAATAGGCAGTGTCCTGAAAAGAGCCCAGATTCTCCTTTTCTTTCTATTCATTTTCTTAGCAAACGCAGTTGGATTAAACTCTTTAAAGCACTTGTACCTAATTGGGAGGATTTGCCTGAGATTATTCATTTTTTACTGTGAATTACTTTAATCAGATAGGTGGATTAGAAGAAAGCTCAGATACATTTCTTAATGGTTAATTTATTCTGGGGGAAGTTGAGGAAAAGAAGGAGAAAGAATACATAATTTTTTGTTATGGGGTACATGAGTGGGAATACTCTGAAACAAAACACTTACCAGTTAATATAGGGCTTGCTATATGCCAATTACTGTTCAAAGCCCTTTACACATACTAATTTGGTCATCACAGCAAGCCGCTGACCACTGGTATCTCCATTTTATAGAAGAATCTGAGGCACTAAGAAGTTAAGTAGGTGCTTTTATTGTTGGGGGTCCTTAGTGTAAGAGACCTGGGAATGTGAAGACTGTAGAGCTTCGTTTAATGTAATGAATAGTTTTGAGATGAAAGAAATACATATTTGAGAAAGATCACAGTGATAACTGTGCAGAGAATAAGATGTGGGTATGTGTTGGGATGTCAGTAGAGGCATTGGGACACTAGGAGACTTTCAGTCTTCATGAGAGATGATGGTGATTTGGAATAGAATGTTAGCTGTGGAAGTGGTGAATGGTCAGATGAGTGATAGATTTTGTAGATAGAGCTAGCAGGATATACTTAATTGATTGGATGTGGGATAGGAGAGGGAAGCTAAGGGTAGTTTTAGAGTTTCAGGCTTGAACAATGGGGGGAATGAATGGAAGTTCCATTAGGGGCAGTTTCAATAGGGTAAAAAATAGATATTCTGTTTTTTAGAGTAATTTATATGACAGGAAATGTAGAAAATAGGGGGAAAACGTATATATTTTTTAATAGAGTAATTACTGTTAAAATTTTTGTTTTCTGCTGATTTTTCTGTTTGTCTGAATGTACATACACACATTTCATTTTTTTGTGTGTTACTAACAAGGATCAAAGTATGTTTTCTAGCCTGCATCTTTTTCATAATTCATTCTTCTATTTATAAGTTTTTGATTAAAGTATATTAGCAGCTTTGTGATTCTGTTTGTTGTCAGATTGCTCTTCAAAAAGATTGTACCATTTGAAAGTGTATTTATAAAGAATTTTGTTCTCTTTAAATCTTAGGGTAGACTACTATCTTGTTGTGAGCTCTTTTAAATGAAGTTCTACTTGGCTACAAAGATGAGGACTAGATAACTTCTTGAGGTTCCTTCTAACCCCTAGGATGAAGATAATAACTAACATTTGTTTAGTGCTTTAAAGTTTTTCTCATACATCACCTCACATCATCCTTACAACAGCCCTGGTGAGGTAGGTAGGACAGGTATTGTTACTCTAATTTTAGAGATAAAGAAACTGATATGGTAGGATAAGTGATGGGCAAGTTTTAAGTATTTTAGCAGGGATTTGAATTTGGGCCTTCTGGTCTAATCTAAATAATCACATCCTTTTTACAAGATTTCATACGACTGCACATTTAGTTTTGTTATATGTCAGCCAGTTAAGGTACGTTTATTATATAGAGAAATAAACCCAATGACAATATAAATATAGTGTTTTTGTGTTTATATTTTGTTCAATATTTTATAGTCCTTTTCCATATCTCCCCATATCATTAAATGAGTGATTCTGTCTCTTTTTTGACTAGGAAGAAAGGAATTTAACTATATAGCTCTATTAAACACCTACCATTTTTCTCTAGCATTTGGGGGAAGGGGAACTTACATGGTATTTTTTATTTGTGTGTGTGTGTGTTACCACTGAAAAGTATATCCACAATACTTTCACACATATATTATGTAAAGTTAGAACAAGAATCTTTTGGTTCTAGCATGAACCTAGAATCACAAGCTTTTTAGGATATTAAACTCTTTGTACCACTTTAACCAAAATTGGGCAATTGAGTACTCAGGTATACTTGTTTATGCTCACAAAGGTGCATGATATGATAAATGATAAATGAGAGTGATAGTGTAGGTCAAACCAAGAAATACTATAGCTAATCTCTTTGACTATCTACCTCATAAGATAGAAATTTGTAATACCGAATTGGGAGCTTGATAGTGACCATATCACACAGTAGGAATAAACCTAGATCTTTGAAGACTATGTAGTATTGCATTAAAATCTCACAGTGTTTTCTGTACTGCTGTTAAGAACTTAAACATCCCCAATATTTTTTAGAAGTAATTTTTTTTGTTTTTGTTTTTTTCTAGTTGTTGGTCTTGACGATATTATGGACGAAGGAGTTGTTAAAGAAAGTGGCAATGATACCATTGATGAAGAAGAACTGATTTTACCTAACAGGAATTTGAGGGACAAAGTAGAAGAAAATTCAGTGAGATCACCAAGAAAATCACCTCGTTTAATGGCACAAGGTAATCCTTCCAAAGATTACCTAGAAAATCAAAGGTGTAGGGACAGATACAAAAAATTGTGAACTTGCTGACCATTTTGATATGAATCAATTTTGAGTTTATACCAATTTGTTGGTATAATTTTTTAAAATTTTAATTGAAATTGTACATTCACATAACTTAAAGAATTGGACTAGTTATATAAGTATCTAATACTTGCTACTCCACTCTTAATTTTCATTTTCCCAGAGGAAACCACTATTAACTCTTTCAGGGTTTTATTAATTTTTTGACATTTACTTAAATGTCTCAAGTTTTGTTTTTTTTTATATATATATATATAATCAAAATGTGTGTGCGTGCACGCGCGCGCGTGTGTGTGTATAGCTACTTTTTTACGATTCTGATGTAGGTATTTAATTATTTCACACTGTGGATTATGAAGATTTAGCGTTCTTTCTTTGATATGATCATGGTCTGGTTGTACATGGAATTCAGGCTTGGAAATCATTTTCGTTCAAAAATTTGAAACTGTTCTGTTTTTTCCTAACTTGAGTATGGAGTATTTTGATTCCGCCATGCCTCTACCCTGGGTATGTTAGCGACTTTTCGTCTGAAAGTTAGTGGAATCTCTTTCTTATCAGCTCTAGTGCTTTGATATTTCTGATAACTATATTTTGGTGTGGGTGTGTTCTGTATATTGAGCTGGGTATTCAGTAGGTCCTTTTAGTCTGAAACTATGATTACTCAACTTTGGGAACATTTCTTGAATTGTTTCATTGGTAAATTTACTTCTTTATTTTCTCTGCTCTCGCTTTCTGGAACTCCTATTATTCAGGTGTTAGATATCAGGGACAGGCCATCATTTTCTTTATCTTGCCTACTTTCTACCTGTTTGCCTTTTTCCTCTACTTGTTGAAATTTTCTCATTTATTCTCCAACTTTACCATCAAGTTTTTGCCTTTATAATTTGTGAATCTTCATTTTTTGTTTCGGGAATGGTCCTTTTTGTAGTGTTCTAGTTTTGTTTCATGTACGCTAATACTTCTGTTTTCTGTCACAAGGTACTTAATGGTATCTTTAAAAGTTTTTTTCCTTCTTTCATAGTTACAGTTTAATTTTTTTCAATGTTGTCTTTTTTTTTTTTTTTTTTTTTTTTTTGAGGAGGAGGCACTTCAGTCTTTTCAGCCTTAAGAGACTTTCCTAAATGTCTGATTCTTAATTGTTTGCTCATGTTTAGGGAACTAAAACTGTATGGAACCTTTTAATTTGTGGGTTGGGTTTTGTTAATCACCGTATGGTGACTTGAATGTGATAGTTTTGGGGAGGGAATCTTGATGTCAGAGTTTAGATTGCTAGCACATTGTGGAAGCCCTTAAGAGAAGTTGAACGGGATGTCTGTTTTCAGTATATGTAACATTAGCTTAATCTCGCAAATTTCAGTGTACTTCATCCTTCATCTTTTATCTGTGATGTACCTTAGCCTAAAAACTGTTTTACACTCCCCAGAGAATAAACCTTCCAGTCTTGGATTAGGACCAGGGAACAGGGAGTTGTCCAAATAGATGTAGTTGGCGAGAGAAGGAGCTAGGGATCTAACTGTTTCTTAAATAACTTCAGCTCATTTTAGCCACCCACCTTCTTGCCAGCACTGCCAGCTTTTAGCATTTGTCTTTTCCTGAATTCCTTACATCAGTTGCTCCTTGATCATCTCATTTGACTTCCAGAATTGTCACTGTTTTCTCTTCTACTGTTCTTTCTTTCCTTTAGATTAATGCCTTTTCTATAGGTTTAGCGGGGGTTTTGAGAAGTGGATCGACTTAGGTGCATATATTTACTTTATCATCTTTTTCTCAATGTATATTTTTACTCAGTTATTTGGTATATACTGGTGACTTTGAGAAATGAACAAAAATAGAATGCACATTATAGACAAATGTTTTGGCTATACAGCCAGGCTGTAAACTAAAGCAGTTGATATTTAGAGGAAAAAAAAGTAACTTTACCCTTTGCTCAGTAAATCAAATACTATTGCCAAACAGTTTTTTATCTGAATGCTTTCACAGTTGAGTATGCTATTTATTTATTATTTTTAGCAACCACTTAGCTAATGGGTGTTAAACGTTTATTTTATGTCAGAGCAGATGAATAAAATAGATCTGAAGACAGCTTGTAATTAAGTTACAGATCTTTAAATATCATCTAAATACTGATAACCAATAAAATTTGAGTTTTTTAAAAATGTATAATTGAACATGTGATAAGCCATTCATAATACATGAAGAATTTTTAAAAGTTTTTGAGTGTTTAACCAAATGATCAGATATTTTACCAATAAATATCTGAGGGAATTGGGAAGGGACTCTAAGATTAGTATGACCATACAATTTCTTGTCCAAACTGGGATACTTAAGAGTGAAAGGGTATTCTATCACCTAGAACTGTTACAGACAAATGGGAACATATGTTTAAGAGTCTCACAGTTTAGTGATGTGTGACAGATTAGAGAAGTGTTCTAAATATTGGTGCAGTAGTAGGGTTTTGCCTTGAAAGGAAGGAAAAAGTTTTTTTAGGTTGATAATGTTCAGTTTTTATACAGAATCGATTCAGAGTCTTAGATATGCATAGGTTTGGAAATAACTTTTTTTTTTTTATTTTAGTTTGTGCGTTGATTTTTCTACTTAGTTACTTAGCTCTCTCTCTTCTCAGTCCTCCTCCTACACCCCCCCGCCCCACATCTGCCCTTGTGTTTCTTTTTTCCTCCAGAGGATATATCCAAATAGGAAAGGAGGAAAACTCAAATTAATAGGTTCTTTGTTAGAAGCACTGTTAAAGGTGGAAAGCTTTATTATTTTCATACTTTATTTTTTGTGATATATTTTCTTGGTTTAAGTGTTTTTAATTGTAATTTTTCTTGTTCTGTGTTTAATATTCTAGCATATACATCTTTCTCTTAGGAATAGCTTGAATGCTAAAATGGTGTGATATGAGTTGAAGCACATTCAGAAAGGAATTAGAGTTCTTTTGAGGCTGTGCTTTGAAACTCACAGATTTGTTTGTAATAGGTGGGTTAGTTCAGATTTTACTGGCACCTGACATTGGTTTTATATGTTTAAAAATATTTAATGTTTAAAACTGTATTACAGTTGTGCTTTAGGATGGGTGTGTTGATGTAAAGGAGGCTCATTTAACTTATTTTACTCTCAGTTTATTTCTTATAGAAGAGACTTGATGAAAACATTTCTGTCTTGTAGTAAGTTATAATAGTCTAAATTTTATAGAGGTTTTTCCCCTGCTAGAATTTATAGAACTTTGATAAATACAAAACATATATATCTCTAAATTCATCATCATGAGTGTTGAGTACATTTTCATTGAAATGATACATTTTGTAGCTCAGAATAAAGAAGTATATATTCTAAATTGTATTGAAATAAAAACACATGGCAAAATAGCTAAGTTATTTTTATTTATTTTTTTTCCTTGTGATAGAACAAGTAAGAAGTTTGCGACAAAGCACTATTGCCAAGCGTTCAAATGCAGCACCTTTAAATAGCACAAAAAAAACATCTGTGAAGACTGTATCTGCCTCTAAAGCAGGGGGGAAACAACCAGAGAGGTGTCAGATAAAAGAAGAAGCTTGTACATCACCAAAGCCTGAGTACCATAAAGAGAGCAGAAGGAGCAGTCGGCATATTGAACAAATTGAAGTGGTACCAGAAATATCAGTGTCTTCAAGTCATTCTTCAGTATCATCTTGCCTTGAAATGAAGGATGAAGCTGAATTAGATTCTAAGCAGAAGTGTAATAATCAGGGGAAAGCAAATGTGCCATCTCATGAATTAAATTGTCCACTCCTTTCAGAGACTTGCGATGGTATCGAAGAAAAGAAAAATGAAGCTCTGATGGAATGTAAAATCAAGACTAAGACTGTTAGTAGCACATCGTTTACATTTTCAGATAAAGAAGAACATGAACAGAATGATTCTATTGCGGATAAAATGGATGAGACTATTGCTGAAGAAATGAGGACAAAGGAAAAAGTTGAACAAGAATCAAAGGAAACAGTAAAATTATCTCATGAAGATGACCAAATTGTTGAGGAACCTGCATCTTCTGCTCTGTCTGGTGATGCTGCTTGTACAAATAAGACTGAAAAGAACCTTGTAGGTTTGTCTGGTTCTGGGGATGAAGTACAAGAATGTCATTTGGAATTGAAGAATACCATGGAATCTGACAAAACTAGGAATTCCCTTCATAGAAATGAAATAGAACCATTGGGTTATTGTAAAGACATAGAGTCTAATCATAAGCAGTTGGAGAACACTGAATTTAACAAATCAAACTTTGAGGTGGTTGATACTAGTGCTTCAGAACCAGAAAGTAGTATTGTAGGACATGCTGTTTGTGATGTGCCTGACCAAAGTTCAAAACAGTTGAATGTCGTTGAAAGAATTAAAATAGAGTCTCATGAAACAGCAAACCTTCAGGATGACAGAAACAACCCGTCAAGTAGTGTTTCTTGCTTAGAGTCAAAAAACATAAAATCCAAACACAGAAAACTTGTAATTCATTCTAAGCAAAACATGACCACAAATACTCTGAAAAAACTTGTTGGAGCAAAGCATGAATTGATGCATAACAAAACTAAAGCTAGTGTCAAAAGTGTGAAACGAAATGCTGATGAACGAGAACCTCAACAAAATTTTCATAGGCCAGTCAAAGTGAGAAAAAAACAAGTTGATAGGGATTTAAAGATTCAGAGTTGCAATTCTGGGGTTAAGTCTGTGAAAAATCAAGCTCATTCTATATCGAAAAAAATGCAAGATCAAAATTTAGTACAGATTTCCAAACCTGTAACTCATTCGTTGAGTGATAAACCTCATGGGGGTTGCTCTAAGGAGCCTCATCATCCTGCACAAACTGGACATTTATTACATTCCTGCCAGAAACAGTGCCATAAGTCCCAGCAGCTGGCTCCCACTGTGAAAACCAATAGTCTTGTGAAGGAAGAGCTTGAACATGCAGGTGGTACAGAGCATTTTAAGGAGGAGGATAAACTGAAACTAAAAAAACCTGAGAAGAACCTACAGCCCCGCCAAAGAAGGAGCAGCAAAAGTTTTTCTTTGGATGAGCCACCATTGTTCATTCCAGATAACATAGCTACCATAAAAAAAGAAGGCTTAGATCATAGCTCTTCATTTGAAAGCAAATATGTGTGGACTCCGAGCAAACAGTGTGGGTTTTGCAAAAAACCACATGGCAACAGGTGTGTGTGCGTGTGTATGTGTATGTGATGTGTACATTGAAGAGAAATTGCTTTTTTAGGGTGGGATTAGTGTGAACATTTTTATACAAAGAAATTATTTAACATACAAAGACTCTTGCAGAAACAACAACAACAAAAAAACCCCGCATCATTCTTGGATAAACAATAGGAAGATGGAGTCACTGAATTTATAAATATGTCATTTTAGAACATTAAAAAAGCATAGCCTGACCAACAGCGGGTATATATGGGAATGCTTTGTCATTGTAACCAGTTAGTGTAATTTAGTCATTACATCTAGGGGAAATAAAAACCCTTTTTGCTAATCAGAAAACTGTTACACTGCCTTGGGTCTATATATAATATTTTATTTGTCTTGAGAAAAACTAGTAATAAAGTGTGAAGGTCATAATGGAAATTTTATTTTTCTTTGAAGATTTTTTTGGGGGGAGGTAGAATGATGCATACAAGATAACTTAATACTACTACTTCATAACTATTAAACTTGATCTTGGAATGAAATTTGATAGCTAAAATAGCTGTTAAATTACCCATGTGAAATTTGTATGTAACATGGAATAGAGTGAAAACAAGATCTTTCTTTTTGAATGATTTAGTGATTTGTAGGATTTCTTGTGAATTCTAATCTTTTAAGAAATGATTTTAGCACTGTCCTTCTGCATTCTCTTCTTAGGATTCAGTTTAAAGTTTTATGGCATTCTTCCCACCATGTATTTTGTTCCCTAGCTTTTTAAGAAAGGAAAACAAGAAATGAAGTGGAATTTGCAGCTACAAGATTATCCTGTTCAAGTGTTCAGATTGCTGTTGGAACTTCTATCAACATTGATATGATAAAAGAACATTATAACTTGCACATTGTAATGTCCTTCCTTCCTTGTAAAAGTAAATGTTATGGTGACTTTTCCAGCACTCAGATTACATAAAAATGAAACTATTTAGGGAGGCACAATTTAGAAAAGTGTGTAATTCATTATTTTAGTGTGGGGAGGGGTAGTTGGGGAGAGTGAGAAGACTTGCAGCTATTTTGTAAAAAAAAAATAACTCGAGTTTATGTCAGAGTTTCATTTGTGATTCAGCCTGTGGCCTGTTTCTAGTGTCAGTTTAGTGGTTACTTCAAAACAGTGTAATTCAGTTTTTAAAAATCGTGACTTGTTTGAACATAGGACTACATTTGTCCTCACTTACATGTTCTTTTTATGCTTTTTTAAAATTTAAAACAACTATTCAAACACTATAAAGTGGGCCTGCTAAATTTTCAGGCCTAAAAGGATTAGGGGCTTGGATGGTACATTCAAGTCCTCTTTTATGCCAGCCCTTTTCTTTCTGCCAAAATCTTCTAAAAATTACCATTGTGCTGTGTGGTCAAAGGAATAGAATAGGAACCTCAAAGTAAATGAGTTTCTAAAATGAAACTTTGGTCTTGAGTTGGAAGCCATGTTAGGGATGTTACTATATAGCATTTTTTTGGTATGAACTTCTGATGGCTGGTCCTCAGGAGTTTGCCCAGGCTTTTAAATGACTGTCATTTTACCAAAATCAAGTTATTTTCCTAAAGTGAAAATTAAATGTTAAGTCCTTCTGTTTTTTTATTGAATGCTGCCTTATGGATCTACTCTGTAAAACCTTGAGTTTCTTTGCTTCAGTCTGGAAAATGACAGAATATTAGATGTGTGGGGATTTTGAGTTCATTCTATGTAATTTACATGAATAATATATAACAGCATTGGAAATGGGTAATTTTGGAAGCACCATTACATATTATTTCAATTTTGTGAATAAAGAACCCTAAATAATTGATTGTTTTTTTTCTTTACATTTAACAAGCCTTCACTACTTTGATACACTGTGCATATATTGAGGTTACCCAAAAGATGCTCCGGTTGTGCAGCATGTGATTTTTAAGATTTGAATTTGTTAGGAAGGGCATATTGGAAGTAATGTAATCCATCTTTTTTATGTCGTGCACTAGCCCATTAAAAGTTTTTGGTACGATGTTTTCTACCACTTTTGACAGCCTTGCTTCTGTAAAGACTATTAAATCTTCAGCATTTTACATGTATTGCTGTGGAGGTTAGCTTCTTGTATGTGCTTCCAGAGGAAATTATTTTTTAATAGATTTGTTCATGGTATGACCAAATGCAATATTTGACCATAAGCAATTTTTATACATGTCCTAAAGACAATAAGTATTGACACTCTAACAGTTTACACCCATGCTGGGGTGTTGATTTTTTATTTTTTGGATTCTGTTTACTTTCCGGATTCAGCCTTAAATCAGAAGTATACATATTTTAAGAACCAGACTGTTTAATAGTCATTTAAAAAAGTTAATGTTACCTTTGAACTGCTTTTAATTATAAGCAAGTTAGTGTATTGGAAGGATCAAGTCTTAGTCTTTTTGTTGCTAGCTCTCCTGAAGACGTATCTTTATATTATAATTTCTTGCTCAGTTATAGAAGATTTAATTTATTGTGTGAAATTTTAAAAAACATCTTAAAATGGAGGCAAAGCTTTATAATCAAACCTTATATTTGGAGAAGGAAGTTTTTGCCTAGAATAAACGTTTCTGGTTTTTTCTCAGGACTTTAAGAGTTTGATAAGTTCTGCATATTAGGTAGTGACAAAAATACTGATTTAATGTTTATGTGGAGTTGAACCCTTTCATCTTAGAAAAGAGTATATATACATTCATAGTGATGTGGCCTAGATTTTCATTTGAAGGAAACAAAAGAACTGAAGGCCCATCTTGTAACAGTTACTTTGTTAATGAACTTGCTAACAATAGGAATTCACAGTTTTGTAGTTTACTTTGAAAACTTGAAAATTTTTGGCTTTATGCCAAAATGATTAGAATTTTAAGTTATTTTACAGTTGATGTTTTTATTTTTACTTTAAATTCTATATAGGAACATACAATATAGGAAAACATTTTTCAAACTCTTCCATTTAACTGATTCATGCTGACCACTTAATTTAGAGCTAAACTCCATACAACATGTTTTTCTTTTTTTAAGTGATGAAAGACTTTAACATCCAGCTTACAGTTTGTTAAGTGATTTTGCCTGTTGGTAATCAGAAATTTAAGGACACCAGAAAATGGAAGAGGAATCCTGTTAGCTGTGTGATTCATACTCTTCCTCCCGCCCCTTGAAAAATAATATGGAAAGGAAGAAAATATATAATCTCTTTGTTATATCTTTTAAAAATACGGTTCATAAAGTTTATAGTACTTGTAAGTTTTAATCTTATTCCATGTTTACATTTTGGGTTTTGAATTTAATTTTCAAGTTATATGATGTTTTCCCCAAGGATATATGGAAATTATTTTTATCAATGTTATTCTTGATTACTCAGTTTTATTTAACTGCATTATTTTTTACATAAACTCTAAACTATTATTAAGATGTCAGCAACAGCACTAGTAGTTGCTTTTCACAGCCTCTCAAGTCTGAGGAGATGGAAACGTGAGGCATGGTGTAAAATTTCATGATTATAAAACTTTTAAATAAAATTTTGAAACACTTTAAAAATGTGCTTTATAAATTGATACTTGGATTTGGAACAAAAGCGTGACTATGGTCATGGTATGTAGCTTTTATTGAATATAGTGTCTTACTGAAAAGCTTAAAGACTTGAAGAAATAATATAACTCCCAATAATGGAAATAAAGGGAAATCACTAGTAGCTTTCCTTTAATATTTCAAAGACATTGCTTTCAAGAAATAGCATTTCTTAGAACAGTGCAAGGTGAAATAAAACTTGGAAGCACCTGTATTTTTCAAACGTTCTTTTACTGCTGGTTCTAAGATCTGTATCATTGCAGCATGGACCCATCAAAAGTCTCCCCAAACCTGGAGAAACCACTTCTGTTTTGCAAATTAATGCTACATTGTTTAAAAGTTTATGTACTAGAGTTACAAATTTAAGAGAGTCTGGCAGTTTTGTTTTTACATAAGGGATGAGATTTTTTGCTTTTATCCCCTAAACCAAATGAATCAGTGGGGACATGATGGCTTACCTGGTAAAGCCAGCACACGCATTACCAGTTAGGGTAAGGAATGGTGAATTACACACTTGAGGTCTAGTCCTTAATGCACAGCATTAGCTTGGTATGCACTAGAACACACGAGTGCTGCTATTGAGGAACAGCGTATTTAGCATGACTTTTCTCAAGATACCATGTAAAGATAGAAGCTTTTAATGATTTTGAGTTCAAGCGATATTAGAGAGAGGACCACATAACTATTACCTGTAACATCTTTCTATTGTACCATAGGTTTTAAAGAGGAGTGGACACATAGTGGTGCCACTATTACTGTCAAAATCAGTCTTAAGTCCTGAAAGAATATATCTGAATCCTTAATTTTCCAAGCATAGCATGCGTTACTAACCTGAAGAAGGGAAACTTAAACATGACTGAGTGAGCTTTGTAGTTTTCCTAACAGTGATATTTAAATATGTAAAAAAGATAATATCTCCCTAACATTGATGCATATATATATTAGATTTGCCATGAGTCATAAATCTCATGTTCCTGGACGTTTTCACTGGTTAGCGATTTCTTAGATAAAATGCAGTAAAGGGAAAAGTTACAGGGACATTCTTTAGAAATTTGTTAAAAGCCTGAATATTAATATTTTTTACATTAAGATACAACACTGGTATTTGCTTTGAAAAAGTTTTATCAGCTGAAGCACTGGGTTGGTACTAAGGAAGTCTACATTCAAGATTTTTTTAGATGAATAATGCCACACCCTGAACCAGAATATTTGACCTCAAGAAATAGTTACATAGTTAAGATGGTGAACAAGAAACAATTTGAGAGACTTCATTGTTAGTTTTTGAGTTGTATTTTTGTTAATTTGGTTTTTCTGTCATTAAAAATGAGTGGTTAAATGATTCTCCAATTTTATGTATGATTTCAGGTCTGTGATAAATGAAATTTTGATGGATTGTAATCAAATTATCACAGACCTTAACCCTTGTCAGTGGAGATGTTGTTGTATACTGTTATTCTATAGAGCATACTAACAAAGGTCAGTTGTCCTTTATTTTCGTCCCTATGGCTTTTTATTTTTCAGTATTTCTCATACTAGAGGGGAAATAATTGGCGTATTAGAAGTTTCATTTTCACTGAATATTTTTTCTGAAAACTTGTTCCATGTTAAACTGATAGAATGGGTAAAGCTGGAAAACAAACTATCAGAGTCAAATATTGAAAATTTAATTTAGTCTTGACATTGGTTTTTGAGAAAATGTGTTAAAGTTCTTTTCTTCTTTTCCAGATTTATGGTTGGCTGTGGAAGATGTGATGACTGGTTTCATGGCGATTGTGTTGGGTTAAGTCTATCTCAAGCACAACAAATGGGAGAGGAAGACAAAGAGTATGTGTGTGTGAAATGTTGTGCTGAAGAAGATAAAAAGACTGAAATAGCAGATTCAGGTATTTTGGAAAACCAAGCTAAAGTTGAAGTCCATAGTGAAGACAAAACAATGGAATATGAAAAGTTTGGATTATCAAAGCATACATCAACAAATGACAAAACCAAGTATATAGATGATACAGTGAAGCACAAGGTCAAAATTTTAAAACGGGTGAGCTGCTCACTAATGCATTCTTTTGTTATTTAAGAAATTTGTTAGACTGATCATTAGAATTTGAAATTTCTCCTTAGATTTTTTTCTAATGTGCATTTTAAAATTTTACTATAGCAATACATTTTAAATCTAAAATATTTTGGCAGTTTTGGTGAAATTAGGTAGCGACATCTTCAGAACATACAGATCTTATTTTTTAAAGTCTTTTTGCTATTTCTAGTGTCTAGTTTGGTACTTGGATTTTTTGTGGTGGGAGATGTGTGTGATCTTGGAGTGTTAGGTGGAAATGGTGCATAATGATAACATTTTTCCTTTAATAGTTTATATTTTATTGTAATTTTTTTCCATTACCATTTATTACCCCCTGTACCCTCTTCCTCCACCCAACCCTCTCCTCTAGTCACCACACTTGTCTGTGTCTGAGTCCTTTTTCCTTTTCGCTTCATCTTCCATCCCTTAACCTCCCGCCCCCTCCACCCCCAGTAACTGTCATCTGCTCTCCATCTATGAGTCTATCTCTATTCTTGTTAGTTCAGTTTGTTCATTAGATTCCATATAATGAAATCATATGGTACTTGCCTTTCTCTGACTGGCTTATTTCTCTTCTATTGATAAAAAATGTCTTGTAATCTTTAAACTACATTTGACATTATTTTCAACTGGAAGAGTTATTTTCTCTGTAAGGAAAAGTAATTTTAATTTGTTTTACTTTTGTCCTAGTGTTTGCTTGGAACCCTCACCTCATAATTTTTTTTTTAAATGTGACAAGCTGTCAGTTTTCCCTCATTCTTATATTTTATCTACCTTCTAAAAGTATTTTCTAATAGAAATTTTAAGATACTTAGTAAATTACAGAAGCAATATATAGAGGACACAGTACTTTATCTGGTTAAATTTTCTTTATTTTTGTTGTCTACCGTTTTATTACTGTTGATTTTTCTAAGAGTGCTCGGGGGTGGGAAACACAGTGGCAACAAATGTATATGGATAGTTAAGTATAACAGTCCAAAAGACAATGAACATGAATTGTAGAGTTGGAAGGAACCTTGGAAATCTTATAGTTCAGCCATTCAGATTTAAGAGCATAAGCATGTTTTCTCCGAAATCTCTATTAGAAACTCATTTCTTTCAGACACTCCTTACATGACAAATTTGGATTAGGTTCCAGTTTGCCAGATTCTCATGGTATCCACTGTTTTCTGTCTGCTGAGACTTTGAAAATCAGATTATGTCCTCCTGACGTGCTGTTGCTTTGTCTGTTGTCTGGATTAGCACCAAAGTAGCTCATAATACAGGACTGAAACCTCCATTTAGAAGAATTTATAACACACCTTTGGAAAGCTTCTATTTATTATTAATCATCACTTCTTGGCCATTCAGAAATATGGCTCATTGTTTTATCATTTAGTTGAATTGTCTCCAGCTTGTCTAAAAAGACATTTAAAAAAACATTAACATCGTAAATGCTTTGAGGAAACCCCCCCTTTCAGAAAAATAATTGAGTTCAGTCTGATTTTGTAAATTCATGTGCTGTCCAAGTGATTACTGCTTCCTTTTTGACGTACTGTTGAATCTTACTTAGACTTGTCTGATTTTAGTTTACTAAAACTGCTTTTTAAATATCACTTGTTATCCCTAGATTTTACATTGAACCATTTGTTGAGTTCCTGCTGTATGCCAAGCCCTGCACCTGACTTGCGTATATAGCACTGATTGAAATAAGTACCTACTGTCAAGTAAATCTAGTTGGAGAGGTGGAAAATAAATTTAAAAAATTAAAAGATTCCTTGTTTGGGGAAAATCAGTTTTTGTATGTATTCTGTCTTGAAACCTATGATTATATGTCCATACATAGTGTTCCATCTTTAAAACACTAACATGATGTGATTAATTTCTCCCAAGGGTCTTGGAATGCCAGTTTTACTACCAGTTCTTTGTGTATTATATTAGGACAAGAGTAGCAGGTATCCTGATGGTTTGTTCTACGTTATGGAAGTGAAACTTCCCAGTTGGTACACTGAGAACTTAAACTGGTACACTTACTATAAGTGAAAAGCACTTCATTTGTTCTAAAAAATAGTGAAAAATACAGATATTTATTTCTCCATAATCCCTCCCTCATTTTCTCATATCCACAGCCAACTAAGAGAACTCTTATTATCTTGTATCTAAGTTTTTATTTCTGATACCATTATTGGGAACATGATCTCTGCTTTTTAGTTTTCCTTTATGTAGGAGAGCTAAATAGGCTATTAGGTGTTTCATAGACAGATGCTTAACAAATGGATTTTGAATGAAAGGGTGATTTTTCTTTTTGCTAATAATTGAGAATAATTTTTTACATCTTTAAAAAAACATTTGAACAGTTATTAGGCTAAAGAATGGAATATGTTTGGTATTGTAATAGGCTGTAATACTGGTTAGGTTTAATTTTTTTTATCTACATTTCTTGAGTCTTGCTTTATATTTATAGATAGTGTAGTAGTTTTAATTTTAATGAATTAAATACTATTCTTTTCCAGGAATCTGGTGAAGGCAAAAACTCATCAGACTGTAGAGATAATGAAATGAAAAAATGGCAGCTAGCTCCCCTTCGAAAGATGGGACAACAAGCATTACCTCGGAGAGCCTCAGAAGAAAAAAATGAAAAAATGCCAAAAGATTCTACAAGTGTTTGTACAGGAGAAAAAGCATCAAAACTAGGTAGTAAGATTAATAGAAATTATTATGTATTAATGTACTTATATTTTATTTCATATACTATTAATTAGTATACTTAGGGAAATTTAGAAATTTTAACATTTTAATGTTAATAAATATAGATTCGGTGATTAACCATACTTGAAATTGAAAACTGCTACTCTAAATTCTGAGGGAGTACTAATGAACTTAGTAAGGCGCTTGTCCTCATGGCACTTAAATACCAATGAGAGAAGAAAGAAAATAAGTAGACAAGTAAGGAAATGGTATGCTATTTTACAGAATTTAGACACTATGAAGAAAAAGTAGAGTAATGGGATAGAGTCACAGTTGTGGAGAGTGGTTGGAGTTTGTTTTAGAATGTAAGTGGTATTTGGAAGGATGTGAAGTTGTTTGGAGGAAAGACTGGGTAGGTGGCATAGCCAGTCTGAAGGCTTTGAGGCAGAAACAGGTTGGGTATTTGAGGAGCAAGAAAGCCACTGTAGAGTGATTGGAAGGTAATATATGAGGGATTGAACGGTGTTAGAAGATGAATTCAGAGAAAGTTATGTAGGCACTTTGACACCATGACAGAGTGTGCATGTGTGTATAATATACTTTTTAAAATCCTCACAGATGGTATGTTTATTGATTTTCAAAGAGAGGAAGGGTGGAGAGGGGGAGAGGAGAGAGAGAAACATTGTGAGAGAGAAACATCCTCCATTCCACTCCTATAATGTCCCAGACCGGGGATCAAACCTGCAACCTAGGTAATGTGCCCTCTTCAGGGATCAAACCTGCAATCTTTTGGTATATGGAGCGATGTTCTAACCAACTGAATCACCTGGCCAGGTCAATATTTTATTCTGAATATCATGGTAAAACTTCAGAGGATTTTGTACAAGGGAATGAATCACTATGGTTTTTCTGTGGAGACTGGACTGTAAGAGGAGAGAAGGAGGGTAGACCATTTAGGAATCTATAGCAGTATTCAAGGAAAGAAATAGTGGTAGCTTGGAACAGAGGTAAAATAGAGGTAGTGAGAAGTGGTCAGAGATATGTTTTACAGTAGTTGGCAGAACTTGCTGATGGGTTAGATACAGGTAGTTGAAGGAAAGAGTTGTACATGATTAGATAAATGTTGGTGCTATTTAATTGGATGAGAAAGACAAGATTTGGGGAGGAATATTGAAAAATTATGATTTGGGCATTTTATCTTGAGATGCCTATTAGATATGCAGGTGCAGGATGTTTGAATAAACCTTTGGCTGATGAGCCTGGAGCTTAGAGAAGGCTTTGAGGGATGGTATATAAATTTTGGATTTATCAGTGCATTAGTAATTTAAAATCATGAACTTAGATAACAGCTACAGTAATAAAGAGGCTGAAGCAGATTCTTTGGGACACATCAGTGTTTAGAAGTTGGGAAGAAAAAGAGAGATGGCATGAATAAGGTGAGAGAACTAAGAGACCCTGGTAGTCTGGCAGCCAGATTAAGTGTCATAAAGGAGGAAATGATCAACTGTGTCAAATGTTGTCTGGACATCTAATAAGATGAACACAGATTGTTAAATATGTGGTTTAGTGAAATAGAGATTATTGGTGACCTTCATTAGAATGATTTTTGTGGAGCAGTGGGAAAAACCAATTATAATGGTTTATGAAAGAATGCAAAGCAAGAAGAAGATACTGATTACAGAGAACTCATCCAAGGAATTTTGTTGTTAAAGGGAACAGAAATGGTGTGGTAGCTAGAGATGGATATGGGATCAAGGACTTTTTTTTTAAAAGGAGTTATAACATGTTTGAAAAATTAATACAAATGATCCAGTAGAGAGAGAATTTGGTGATACAGGAGAGATTATGTGATAGTTGAGGTTTAAAAATCCATAAATGAGATGGAAGAGTAGGATCCACATAGAAGGGTTAGGTCATAGAAAAGAGAGATTGTGGTAGGAAGGACATATGCAGGTTGATTTAGTGATGGGAAGATGGGATAGCTGACATTTTTCTGTTTTCTCAGTAAAAATATGAAGTGAGAAAATCAAATGAGGTTGAAGTTAGGGAAAGAGGTAGTGTTGGTTTGAGAAGAGGAGCAAAAATGTGTAAAATAGATATTTTAGAAAATAGAAAGTGAGAGGGCAAATTTACTAGGAAATTTTAAAAGGATTAGGGGAGCAGATTGAGTATCTCTTTGAGATTTGGGGTTTATAAATTTAAATTAAGAACTGTCCACACCAGTGCTTAATTGTCTTGTTATCTTTAGCTGTTTGTAGGCTATTGAGTGAAGGATAGAAATTGACTTTTTTCACTGGGGCTGTGATTTTGCCAATGCAAATAAAGAGAGAGAATAAAGGTATTAAGTGTGCAAGGGAGTGGTAATAGTATTAGATTATCTAATTAAAGTTGGTTATAAGGGAAGGTGAGAGCATGAATGTTAAAAATGATAGATTTAAGAATTGTTGGAATGAGGAGATTCTAGAATAAATAAGCTAGTATGAGAAGTGGAATGTTTGACATTGAGATTTTGGAAGTACAAATGCATTAGTAATGATGGATTGAAAAATCATTTGAAAAGCTTAACATTTAAATTAAAATATTAATCAAGCACAATTGTTTTAAAACCAGAGGAGATTCATCAGTTTTGTGGTGGTAGTAAAATCATTAAATTATTTGCACACTTAATAAGTTGAGACCAAATTTTCTAAATACTGTATTTTGCCATGTATAATGTGCACCCATGTTTTTGGCCCAAACTTTCAAGAAAGACTTTCATTTTAAGTTTTTAATTCATTATTTATTTACATTTAGGTATTTCTATTTTGTATTATAAAGGAATTTTAGCATTTATTTTTTAATATATTATGACAATACTATCCATGTGTTTGCACATCCTTATTTTCTCTAAAAAATTTGGGCAAAAGTGCACGTTATATACAGGAAAAATACAGTAGGTTTTTTTTACAGTCCTATTTTTATTTTTCTTTAATTTTTAATAGTTTATTTTTATTGTATTTTTTCCATTATCATTTATCCTCCTCATATACTCTTCCACCTCCACCCACTGCTAAATAGTTTTTTAAAGGTTAATTAATGTGTGTATGCAAAAAGTAACAAGCTCTAAAAACCATTATCTAAAATGGAAAAAAGGATATGTAGTTTTTTAACTTCAGGGCCCCGTTTTGGTCACTTAATTTCTAATTAAAGTTTATTGAAATAACTTTTTTAAAAATTGAGGTATAACTGACATGTAGCATTATATTAGTTTTAGGTGTATAGCATAATGATTTGATAGCTCTGTATACTATGAAATGATCACCTCAATAAGTGTAGTTAACATCTGTCTCCATGTATAGATTTAGAATGTCAAGAATATTTCAATGTGGAGTAGATAGAAATAAGTAGTGATTTTTAATGAGTCAATTGCGTTTATAAACTTACGTACTAAAAGAAAAAGTTTTTAAAAACAAATGTATTGTGTTTTAATACTTATTTAAATTAGGTGCTCAAGAGAAGCAAGAGATAAAGAAGAAGAAAACTGAAAAAGGAGTATCCAATGTGCATCCACCCACTGCTGCTACTGCCAAGCCTTCTGCAGATCAGATCAGACAAAGTGTCAGACATTCTCTCAAAGACATTCTTATGAAAAGGTAACACACGTTATTATTATAGAAGATTAAATTATATGTGCTTCACGTATTTGAAAAATAATTGAATTATTCTAATTTTAAGACTTACAGACTCAAATTTGAAGGTACCAGAGGAAAAGGCAGCAAAAGTTGCCACAAAAATTGAAAAAGAGCTTTTCTCTTTTTTTCGGGACACAGATGCTAAATATAAGAACAAATATAGAAGTTTGATGTTCAATCTGAAAGATCCTAAAAACAATGTAAGTGTTTTGTTCATGTTCATGGATATTTATGGTTCCAATTTTCCTGAATACATAGGGATTTGAGATTGTAATACAATAGATGTATAATTTATTTCTTGGAGTGAGACTTTGTAATTTTAATAGTCTTTTGCTACTGAATTCAGTTTTGCTTAGAGATGACTAATGTTATAGAATGAGTCTACTGAAATATAAATACTAAGTCTGTCTTTACCTGATTTATGTGAATTTTCTTTCTTTTATGTCCCTTGTATAATCCAGTTTGTTTAAAAATTCATATGCTTTCTTTAAAAACTATAAAGCTAAAATTGATAGTATTATATTAATACTTCTGATTTAAATCTGAAAATAGCTACATTCCTTAAATTGCCTTTAGATAAAAAACAAAGCTATTTTAAAGACATTTTTATTACACTGAACATGACTTTAGTTTTAAATATCTTTTAGTAGTGGAGTAAAACATTAATTGAAAACTTAATCTTTCCTGGGATTTCTTGTTTGTGACTTAAAGGGAATCTAAAAGCTGTGCATGTTTGTGAGGATGCAAACTCCTTGCATATTTATTGAAGTCTTACAAGGTTACTACATAGGTATTAGCAGTTTGTCAGTTTGTATAATTATATTTGCTATAGTATGTAATTTAGGTATTTTCTTGAAGTATTCTAAGAACTACTTAAGAGGATTCTACAGTGTATAATCTGCCATTATTGTCCAGGAGATCAGTTTCCTCAATAAGTGGATATTTCCTTTAGGTTTCTTTTTTGCAGTTGTTCTTCTCTCTGGAGTTCCCTCCAAGCCTGTTAGGATTTAAACATAGAAATCCTAAAAATATGAAAGACATCACATTAAATAAAGTTCATTTATGCATTTCCTTGTCTGTTATGACATGTCCTTGGGAAGGTGTAAAACAACTTTGGGATAGTTGTTGTAATGGCACCAGTGTACATGCTTGCCCATCATGTATTGATTTTTATATGAAATGTGTATTTTGCTACCTTAAATAGTAAGTTCTAGACTACAAGACTGCCACTATTCTTGTAGTAGGTAATATGTAAATCATAAAACATTTGTGAACCAGGTTTCAAAATTTCATCTTTATTTATTATAAGATTCTGTATAGCAGCTTTTCCTTGTTTTGAAAATGTTTTTCTCCTCTTCCCATTTTAAAATATTTCCAGATATTATTTAAAAAAGTACTGAAAGGAGAAGTAACCCCTGATCATCTTATAAGAATGAGTCCAGAAGAACTAGCTTCTAAGGAGTTAGCTGCTTGGAGACGAAGAGAAAACAGACATGTAAGATTATTTAGGAATATGTGTTTGACTATATTAAAACCTATATTTCTAGTTACTTTACTCCTTTAACTTTGTTTTTAAATTCTATCTTTTGTTTTTCCTGAGCTCTGCTGCTTTTTTTTTCCATTTTCTCAAGTTATCAGGTTACATAAATACTTTGTGTTTTGTTACGTAATTTGTAAATCAGAAGAATGGGAAAATGGGCACATCTTAATCACATCTGCAATTTTTAGAAGTTCAATTTGAAGATATGAACATTGGTAATTTGTAGAGCCAGATTAAGATGAAATGATCATTTTGCAGGTTTATGCTCCCCAATTCAAAGTTTAAAATGCCAAAACCTCTGCAAAATGTTTTTTCTGTAACAAATTTATTGATAAACTCTGACCTGAATTGTCACATCTTAATGTTTTTATTCACAGAAATGTTTTGTATTTAAGTAGTGCTGTCCCAAATGTAACTGGAATGTCATGTTAAATATATAATATGTGCACCATATTGCATTTTAAAACTAAAAAATTGTGGAAGTCATTGATGCCAGGAGTTTCCGTTGAAAGTTGTGAACTTGAAATACCTTTGAAGATTTAAGTGAATATGAGACTGGAGACTTGACAATGAGGTCGCCACATCACCCATTATTTTTATTACAATGGCCTCAGAATATTAGCCCTGTTACTTTATAGAAAATACTGGTTACTTTATAGTTATGATAACTCTAATGAGTTACCTGATTCTGTTCTCCAAAATACCTGCATCTTAGGTATTAAGCCTTCAAGTAGATCTGCCGAATCTAGTTTGAAGTGCCAGAGTCCTTGATTTGATATATTATACTTAATTCACATATTTCTTCACTTTTGCCCTGTGTAATTTCTCCTGAACTCTACCTTTGAAAATAGTGTCTCCTTTTGTTGCTCTCCATGTCCCAAATATGCACAACGCCTCTCTTCTTTGAAACTCTGGCTGCAAGTATCATCTGCATTGGAGACCAGCTTGTTTTATCTTTAGATCATGTACCTGATTTCTTTCTTTAAAGGAGACTTGGTACTTAACACAGGCGAGATAAATGACCAGACCCTTCTTTACCTTCCTTAAGCCATTCCATTCTTAGCTACCTTTTTCTAATTCTTGCTGCATGTAATTTAATTACTGTGTTTTATTGCTGAGCTTGTTCAGCTGTGAGTTATCATACAAATCACAAAGTATGCTCAGGAGACAACTGATAGGGGAGACTACCTGTTAATTTTTTGGTGTTTGAGTAAACTTCATACTGTTTGGGGGACGTTAACAAACTTCAAGTTAGGAATCTTAAGTGAAAGTTAGTTTTCATTTCCCTGAGGCAGTTGCTAAAATACTAAATTAGAAGGCAGATTTTAAATATGAACGTTATGTTTCATTACTTTACAAATTACATTGCACTTCAGTTGCCTCAAGTTTATGTACATGTGAGCTTCTCAAGGCTGAGGCATAGGAGGCATAGGTTCTGATTCTTATACCCCCAGCACTGAAAACTGTCTCTGGCATATGTAGGTATTCAGTATCCTTAGTTTGTTTGAGACACTATCTAAAGATTAAAAATCAGCTATGATGATGTTTTTATTTTAAAATAAGCTGATCATTATTTAAAACATATTTTTAATTTTGAAGTATTTCTTTAAAATGTTTCCTGTTAGACCATAGAGATGATTGAGAAAGAGCAGAGAGAAGTGGAAAGACGACCAATCACAAAAATAACTCATAAAGGTGAAATAGAAATTGAGAGTGATGCTCCAATGAAAGAACAGGATGCAGCCATGGAGATTCAGGTAAAGATAATAAAAATGTCGTGTTTTATAGTGCTTATAGCATGAAGATTCAGAAAAGGTTTATTTGCCTAATTTCTTAAAATAGAAAGAATTTTTAAAAATGCATATTTTAAAGTAGCCTTTTTTAAAGTTTAATGGTTTTCTGGGAGTGTTTAAAGTATCATTTCTCTGTATGTAGTGTACAGACTACAGACTATTTGCATCATGGGCATCTGTGAAGCACTTGTTAAAATGTATTCCTGGGGCCTCTGTGACTTAGCAAATTCCTTAGTAGGCCTTGAAACCTGCGAGTGCTTCTTAGGCTGTCTGTAGTTTGATAGCTGGTGCAGCCTCTTATTTTAAATGTTAGTGATGAAATACATAAAATCTTGTTAGTTGCATTGGAGAAGGAGGAATGTTTAAGTTTTGCTTTATCTTAAGTCAATATCTAAACATTCTTTTTTTTTAAATAGTGAAAAATAACCTATAAATAGAACAGTTTCATTTTGGAAAAATGTCAGTGTGAATTATAAGTTGATTTTAATCATTGAGGTCAAATTTAATCTGCCGAATCTAACTTTTATTCTGACTTCTTTTAGGAACATGCAGGTAATAAGTCATTAGAAAAGACCGAAGGATCTGAAAAACAAAAAGAAGAGATTGACTCCATGTCTAAAGATACCACTAGTCAACACAGACAACATCTTTTTGATCTTAACTGCAAAATTTGCATAGGTAAGTGGAAATTTTTCTATCTATAATGTTGCTTTCATTTGGAAAGGGGATAACTTGTATTTGTAGTTTAAGTAGGTTTTGTTTTCCCAGTATTGGTGGTAAAATACCCACCTATTTCCTTTGAAGAGTAGCACATTTTGTTTTTAATGACTATTCTTCAGGATTGACGTGTAATTTGGTATAATGTACTTACTATCTATTATCAATTCTGTTATATAAGATATGAACTTATTAACTCAGGGTCAAATGACTAAAATTTAAATATTATAATAGACATTAGAAATTGTGGGCAGTAGTGATGGTACTGTCATTTACTAAATGGAGAAGTGAAATAATACTCGTATTGTTATATATAACTAATGTCAAGTCATAAATTATCTTTTCTCTAGTATTCTTATCTTGGGTCACTCATTGTAAAAATACGTACCGAGTTCTTACTCCTTGCCAGGTACTTTGCTGGTGCAAGGAATATAGTGGTGAAAAAGTTAGATGTTATCCAGGCTTTAACAGAAACTGTAATCTAGGGGGAAGGACAGACAGGTGATAATTTGAGTTACAAAAGTACAGTTGTTAGAAATGTATTTAGATGACAGAAGGACCTAGCCTAGACACTGGGGTTGAGGGGAGGTTTGGCTGAGGAATTTACATTTAAACTGAGACACGAAGGTTGAGAACTATGCAGAGAGAAAAGGACCATTCTAGGTACTGGGATTGGCAGTGAGCTTGAACAAAATTCAAGGAAAGGCACATTATTTATTTGAAGAGATATTTAGAAATCAGATTTCATGGTATCTCATAGCCATTGCTTTTCTTTTTCTTTAAAAATTATTTTTATTTCTTAATTTTACTTTTAAGAAATATTTATTATTCCTTTTTGAGGCATAATTTTTTTAACTGCATTTTTTCCATTACCATTTATCCTTTTTATATCCTCTTCTGTCCCCAACTCCCTGCTCTGTCCCGCCCGAGTCACCTCACTGTTGTCCGTGTCCATGAGTCCTTTTTCCTTTTTGCTTGGTTTCTCCACCCTGCCCCCAGCAGAGCTGTCAGCATGCTGTCCATGAATTTGTCTATATTTTGCGTGTTAAGTTTGTTCATTAGATTCCACATATGAGTGAAATCATATGATATGGTACTTGACTTTCTCTGACTGGCTTATTTCACTTACCATGATGTTCTGCAGTTCCACCCATGCTGTAGCAAAGGGTAAAATTTTCTGGTCTTCTATAGCTGAATAGTAATACATTGTGTATGTGGACCATAGTTGTTTTATTTACTTACTACTGATGAACACTTGGGCTACTTCCAGATCTTGGCGATTGTAAACAGTGCTGCTATAAACAGGGGTGCTTATATTCTTTCGAATTAGTGTCTTGGGTTCCTTGACATAAATTCCCAGAAGTAGAATCTCTGGGTCATAAGGCAGTTCCATTTTTAGTTTTTTGAGGTAACTCCATACTGCTTCCACAGTGGCTGCCCCAATCTGTATTCCCACCGACGGTGCAAAATGGTCCCCCTGTTGCCACATCTTCACCAGCGCATGTTCTTTGTTGATTTATTGGTGATAGCCATTCTGACAGGTGTGAGATGATATCTTATTGTGGTTTTAATTTGCATTTGTCTCATGATCAGTGATGTTGAACATCTTTTCATATGTCTGTGGGCCATCTCATCTGTATGTCCTCTTTGGAGAAGTATCTGTTCAGGTCCTTTGCTCATTTTTAATTGGGTTTGTTATTTTGGTGTTGAGTTTGGTAAGTTCTTTATAAATTTTGGGTATTAACGCCTTATCAAATGTATCAGCAAATGTGTTCTCCCATTCGTGGATTGTCTTTTTATTTTGATGATGTTTTCCTTTGCTGTGCAGAAATTTTTTAGTTTGATGTAGTCTCATTTGTTCATTTTTTGTTTTGTTTCCTTTTTTTGGGGAGATGTATCTGATAAAATAGTGTTACAAGCAGTGTCTGAAATTTTGCTGCCTATATTTTCTTCCAGGATTTTTATGGTTTCAGGTCTAACATTTAAGTCTTTAATCCATTTTGAATTTATTCTTGTATGTGGTGTAAGAAGGTGGTCTGATTTCATTTTTCGGCATATAGCTGTCCAATTTTCCCAACACCATTTATTGAATAAACTATAGACCATTGTATGTGTTTGCTTCCTCTGTCAAATATTAATTGACTATAAAGTTGTGGGTTTATTTCTGTGCCCATATTTCTTTCCCATTGCTCTATATGTCTGTTTTTATGCCAGTACCATGCTATTTTGCTTGCTATAGCCTTACAGTATACTTTGATACTGGGTAGCATGATTCCTCCAACTTTGTTTTTCTTAGGATTGCTGTTGTTATGTGGGGCCTTTTGTAGTTCCATATACATTTTTAAAATATTTGTTTTAGTTCTGTGAAATATGTCATTGGAATCGATATGAATTGTATTGAATATATACTATAGATTGCTTTGGGTAGTATGGACATTTTAAGGATATTAATTCTTCCTATCCATGAACATGGTATGTGCTTCCACTTACTTGTATTTTCTTCAATTTCTTTCTTCAGTGTCTTTTTTTAAAAAAGATTTTATTTATTATTTATTTTTAGACAGAGGGGAAGGAAGGGAGAAAGAGAGGGAGAGAAACATCAGTGTGTGGTTGCCTGTTGCGTGCCCCTACTGGGGATCTGGCCTACAACCCAGGCATGTGCCCTGACTGGGAATTGAACCAACAACCCTTTGGTTCGCAGGCCGGCACTCAATTCACTGAGCCATACCAGCCAGGGCTCTTCAGTGTCTTATAGTTTTCTGAGTACAGAACTTTTACATCCTTGGTTAGGTTTATTCCTAGGTATTTATTCTTTTTGAAACAGTTGTGAATTGGATTGTCTTCTTAATTTCCCTTTGTTAATTTGATACTGGCATATAAAAATGCCAGTGATTTCCGGATATTAATTTTGTATCCTGCTACTCAGCTGAATTCATTTAGTAGTTCTAGTAGTTTCTTGGTGGAATGTTTGGGGCTCTCTATGTACAGTATCATGTCATCTGCAAATAAGACAGTTTTACTTCTTCCTTTCCAATTTGTACACCTTTTATTTCTTCTTGTCTGATTGCTATGGCTATGACTTGCAGTACTACATTAAATAAGAGAGGTGAAAGTGGACATTCCTGTCTTGTTCCTGATCTTAAGGGGAACACTTGTAGTTTTTTCCTATTGAGTATGATGCTGGCAGTGAGAATGTCATGTGTGACCTTTTTTACGTTTACGTATGTTTCCTCTATTCCCACTTTGCTGAGAGTTTTTATCATAAATGCATGCTAGATTTTATGAAATTCTTTTTCTGCATCTATTAGTATAATCATGTGTTTTTTTAGCCTCATTTGTTTATGTGGTGACTCACGTTTATTAATTTGCGAATGTTGCACCAAACTTGCATTTGCAGAATAAATCCCACTTGGTCATGGTATATGATCTTTTTGATGCATTGCTGAATTGGGTTTGCTAATAATTTGTTGAGGATTTTAGCATCTATGTTCATCAGGGATATTGGCCTATAATTTTCTTTTTTTGTAGTGTCTTTTGGAATTAGGATAATGTTGGTCTTGTAAATGAACTTGGGAGTCTTTCTTCCTCTTGAATTTTTTGGAATATTTTGAAAAAGAGAGGTGTTAGTTCTTCTAGGAATGTTTGGTACAACTCACCTTTGCAGCCTTCTGGTCCAGGACTTTTGTTTGTTGGGAGTAATTTCTTTACTGCTTCAGTTTCTCTAGGTGTAATCTGTCTATTCAGATTCTCTGATTCTTCCTGATTTAGTTTTGGAAGACTGTATGTTTCTAGGTATTTATCCACTTCATCTAGGTTGTCCATTTTGTTGGCATTTAGTTGTTTGTAATATTTTTGTACAATCCTTTTTTTCTTTTTTTTGGATGTCACTTGTTACTTCTCCTTTTGTGTCTGATTTTCTTTATTTGGGTCTACTATCTTTTTTTTTTCCTTGATAAGTCTGGTTAAAGAACCAGCTCATGGATTTATTGGTCTTTTGTATTATTTTTATAGACTTACTTTGTTTATTTCTGCTCTGATCTTTATTTTCCTTTTTCTGAGCTTTGTTCGTTCTTTATCAAGTTCCTTTAAATGTAAAGTTAGATTATTTGAGCTTTTCCTTGTTACTTGAAATAGACCTGTAGTGCTATGAGTTTCTGTTTTTGATGGGCTTGTTTTCCCTGTATGCCACAGATTTTGGGTTGTAGTGTTCTCATTTTTATTTGTTTCAAGGTATTTTTTTATTTCTTTCTTGATCTCTTTGTTGATCCATTCATTGTTTAGTAGCATGTTATTTAGCTTACATATCTTCGTGTATTTTTCAGTTTTCTTCCTGTGATTGATTACTAGTTTTTTAGGATTATGGTCAGAAAAGATGCTTAGTATGATTTTGGTCTTCTCAAATTTATTGAGACTTGTTTATGTCCTAACATGTGGTTTATCCTAGAAAACGTTCTATGTGCACTTGAACAGAATGTATATTTTGTTACTTTGGGATGGAATACCCTGAAGATATCAGTTTACTCCATTTAATCTTGTGTGTAATTTAAGGCTGCTGTCCCCTTGTTGATTTTCTGTCCAGAAGATCTATCCATTGATGTCAGTGGGGTGTCAAAATCTCCTACTCTGACTGTATTTCTGCCAGTATCCCTTTATGTCCATCAAGTTTGGCTTTACATGTGTGTGTGCTCCTGTGTTTGGTACATGAATGTTTACTAGGTTTATAGTCTGTTGTTGCATTATTTCCTTACCATTATGTATTGTCCTTTTTCTCTGACTATAGCCTTGGTTTAAAAGCCTATTTTGTGGGATAGAAGTACTGCTACCCCAGGTTGTTTTTTCTTTTGACTTGCATGAAATATCTTTTTTCCATCTCTTTACTTTTGGTCTGTGTGTATCTTTAGTTCTGAGGTGGGTCTCTTGAAGACAGTATATGGATGGGTCTTGTTTTCTTATCCATTCAG